TTGAATTCGACGAAGATAGGTCAGAGATCGAAGAGTTTACATGTTTCTGCTCATAAAATCACGATCGAGAAAGAATTGTTGTTATGCGTCCTCTTTCTAGATCCTCTCGCTTCCCACTTGGTTCATTCTTTGCTCTGCCTTTTCAACCACCACCACTACCATCGTCACAGCTATCACCGTTAGCTTCTTCTTTTTCTTCTCCTTTCCCTCCTCTTATTCGAATCTACGAGCGACAAATTGGAAAGCATCGACGGAATTTGCAACGAGTTCACTGTACCGTGACCTTTGACGCCAATCTATTACATCTATAACGTTCAGAGAACGAGCAACCATTTCTATCAAATAAAGTCACGTGTGATTTTATCAAACAAAAAATAAAACGTACGAAGATACAGGATATTTCCACAAAAAAATGTGCAGCAGCACATCTCATTTGAAAATTACATTTTTATTCATTATAAGTAACCATTGAAAAATTTTTTTTTCTAAAATTTTTCTATTCATTCTCAAAAAGAAGCATTTGAGCAATAATTATCGACATACACACATTTATATATATATATATATATATATATATATATTATATTATATTATATTATATATATTATATTATATATTATATTATATATATATATATAATTAATAATTTTAATAAGAATATTAACACTATTTCATGAATTATACGTTCTATTTTTATTTTGTTTTTATGAAATTTATTATCATTATTTATATCTATATATATATATATAAAAAAAAGTGAAAGTTCATTCGATCGTTATTGGAAATATCGAAAGAGTCCAAGAATCATTAAACTACATGTCGATATTTAAACTACATTAAAATGCGTGTAGGAGTTTTCGATATTAAATCACTATAGATATCATTTTAGTATTAGGTGTATATTGACTATATTGAATATTTGTGGTATAATAGTTAAGTTACAAAGGACAAAAGTGTAAAAAAAGTATAATGATTTCTTCTTGTATAACTAAACGCGCAACAATAAAATACCATTAAGACGAGGTTAGGCGTCGTAGAAAGACGGCTTCTTCCGGAAACGATGGCACCATCGATCGTTGTATATATTTGGCACCACGATATAGCTCTCCTTATGCAAGTTTTAATCGAACTCCTCGAAGAAAACTTTGTCCAGTTATTTTCCTAAGTCGATCTTACTTTTTTGTTTCCTAGAAAAATTGCTGCTCTATTTTAAAGAGAGTATTTATATTAGGTAGATTATATATATATATATATATATATATATATATATATATATATATTTATATTTATATTTATTTATTTATACTATAAATTAGAGCCTTCTAAGATTTTCATTAGCAAATAAATAACTTTAATATCATATATTAATAATGAAACAATATACCACATTCGATTAGGATCACAATTTTAATGAGATTGCACTTTTTAAAATAATTTTTTTTATATTAAATATAATTGGAGAACGAATTTTTAATAAAATATTTTGGCGATAAACATTAAAGGATATAGAAAACTTTACAAAATTTGTATGTAAATTCAACGAGTAAATTTTTACGAGGACGAATTGTTTGCGAGAAATGATAATCGTTTGAAACGAACGTAATTTTTATCGTTTGCGGTTTTATCCTCAAATAAGTTTCACGAGTTTTTCTTTCCTTTATCTACGTAGCAACTTTGAGCTTGACCTCGATTGATAAGAGGAAACCAATTATTCAGTCGACTCGGCCATACTGTCTGAAACTTTACAAAGAAATCTGTTCTATTACGAAGTATACTCGAGTTATACTGTATACTAGCGTGAGGGAAAACGCAAATAGAAGAAGTAATTGTGATTTGCCGCCACGTGATTCTAAGTCAAGCAATTATTTAATTATCTTACGTGAGTTTTTATCGATAAATTTCCTTTACTTTCTCTTAGTCATTTAACCTGTTACGTATAAAAATCCGAAACAAAAAAAAAGATAAAAATACGTATCTATAATATATATTTGTAACTAATATTAGAAACTACTAATATATTACTCCATCAAGCATGATGTCATAGTTTAAAACAAAACTGTAGTTATAGGGAAATAACAAACACATAAAAAGATTTTGAATGTCATATTATTAATATTTATCAATGTAATCATGCGCATTAGATTTTTATTTACAGAATATGTAACGTACACTTATGTTAATTTATATTGACAATTTCAAATTGATTTCTAGTGGTTCTTAATTTAGAATGAAGTATATCGTCAATTTGATTTTTTTATTTACTAAAGATATCACTACAAATTAAGTACGCTATATTTTTCGTTGGAACATAGAAAACATTTAAATAAAATTTCATCTGGATTGAACAAAAATATTAGGAGTTGTAGAGAAATTATACACAGATTAAGGATTATATAATTAAAAAAAATAAGGTCAACTATAATTTATTATAAAAAATTGCTTATTATATTAATTTAATATATTCATTTTTTTATTATATTAATTTACACTACATCGAATTCTTTTGAGATATTTTCATTCAGTGATAGAAATGCATGTTTGTTTTTTTATACTTGTACCATGTCTCTCAGTGATAAGAAATTTTATATATACGCACAAACACATACGCACACACATATATATATGTATATATAATAAAGAAGATAGGAAGAATTTTTATTTTTAAATTACATCGTATACGTAAGCTTCGTTTTATTTGCTACGTATGTATTGATAAAGCGTGTCCTCATAATTCCTAATTGAATTAGTAACTATTTTGGGGATTACAGTAAAAAAAAAAAAGAAAAGAAAATTATCTAAAATAAAAATAATTAATTTTATTTGTAAATAAATTATACGTCAGATAAAAGACTAATGATCTTAAAAAATGTCAATGATAGTATGTAAAGCAAGTACTTTATTCTCTTTGTTATCGATCAGGTTGATCGCTGGTTAGTCGCTTATTAGTGACGTTCATTAGTCAGTAATATCCGTTAACGATTAATAAGTCGAGTCAGTATTTCCATTTCTTAACGGTACAGTCTTTGTAGGAAATCAAGCAGGAAGATCGCTTGACTCGTTTTTACGTGTCCTCGGAAACAAGCTTGTAATACTTTTACCAGCTGTGATTGGCCAGGTAGGGAATTTGCTGATCCATTAAACTTTAATTCGATATATATATATATATATATATATATATATATATATAGTAGATAGATTATTGAGAAATAAAAATAAAGGAATTATTAAATGATTCGTCGCTTGTTATTCTATAATGCAATAAAAATCGAGGACGAATAATATTCATGTTGCTTGGAAAATGTCGACTTATTCAAATTCAATCGCCAGTTAAACATTTTACATTGATTCTTTTTGACTAAGCATGGTCATAAAAGCGATACTTCATAGGTTTCTTTTTGTATGCTTAGTAATCATATTTTAATGTTCCAGTCATCGTTCAAATATAATTAAATGATCGTATTCCGTTTACCATTGATCCTATCGTTAACAAATTAACGATTTACTCATTTTTTGATTCTGATAATTCTACTTGAAGTTGGTGAACATAAGATTACGTTTATCTCGTATAATTATCTATTTGATTATTACTCAAATAATTAAGTGGGTTTTGACGGTTAGATTTTAATTCGCGCGCGCGCGCCCAGAGCAATTCGTTACACTTGAAATCAATTAGCACGAAGCGACGGTAAGTGGGTAAAAAGGTCTTGCGGGCTGCGGGAGCTGAGAAGCGGTGCGAGTTTGAGAAATGACGCTTTTCTCTTTACCTCTCTCTCTCTCTCTCTCACTCTCTCTTTCTCAGTCCCTTTCTCTTTGTCTCTCTCTCTTCTAATGGAAAATTATTGTTTGTAGTGTCAGTGTAAAAATTGTAAAGGTCACAATTCTACTTATATCAAGATCGATATCTCAGAAAACGACCTTCATTGATGAAATGGAATTCTAATGTAGAAAACTAAAGGAAAGATCGATCATTTTCGTTATATGGGTTTCCTTGTGTTTCTCAATGTTCAGGGAAAAAAGAGAGAGAGAGAGGAAAATCTGACGTTTACGAGAACGGTTCTACGTTAAGAAGAAATCTGGTTTTGAAACGAGTTGTATACTTATGCCAGGAAAGAAAGAGAGAGGAAGAGAGAGGAAGAGAGAGAGGGAGAGAGGGAGAGAGAAAGGTAGATAGATAGATAGAGAGATAGAAAGATAAGTGAGAGAAAGACTTGTTGTCGTCCTCTCATCTAACCTGCAAGAAAGTAGACAAAGTGACGGTACTACGGTTTGGATGAGATTCTTGAGGCCGTTCACCTTTTTTCGTGACTTCGAGACTGGTACTAGCAGGTAAAGTCTACCTTTTACTACACCACAGAAACATCATCACTTCTTCCCTTCTCTCTCTCTCTCTCTCTCTCTCTCTCTCTCTAGTTCTGTCTCTGTCTCTCTGTCTTTCTTTTTCTTTTTTCTCTTTCTTCTTTATCTCTCACTCAATCTTTACGTTGATTATAGTGGGCAAGATGAAACTTTTTTCAAGATCTAATTATAAATAATAGAAATTGTACATTTATTCCATAGCGTAATGTAAATTGCTTATCGAAGGATTAGATATAAATTCTGTTTTTATTGATAATAAAGATTTTTTAAGATTTTTGATTAGACTAAAAAATGATATTTTCTCGTAATTTCTTAATAATCATGTATATTAATATTTTATAACGTTATGTAACTTTGAATATACGTATTTATTAATTTTTGAATGTAAATTAATTATTAATATTGTTATAGGTAGAAAACAGAAGAAAAGTTAAAAAATGGAGGTATACTGATGTATACAGATATTTTACAAAGTATTAGTTTAAATAGATTGTTATAATAGTAATATAAATTATATTGTAAATTTTACATTGTATGATTCTTTTTTTAAATATGAAACAAATTCGATCACAAATATTAATTTTTTTTTTTTTTTTATATTCATTTACATAGAAAAAGAAAAAGAAAAATTAGTTCCTTTAATATTTCCGTCACTCAGTCGGTAAAAAAGATGATCTACAACATCGTTAACTCTTATCGATCTATACGATTATAATGATATCACTTTCGGAGAAGTCAATCCAATATTCGAAAATATGTTTATTCAGCAAAAGAGCTTGGTGGAAATTTACCGTTGCATTTGTATTTCTAACCTCATCGAAATGTTCTTCACTGAAGATCGATGATGGCCATGACGAAGTCGTAATTGTATGCTAGGAAAGATTCCAATCGAAATACCTTTCTATTACTTTTTTTCCATAACCTTGTATGATAGTATTACACCGCATAGATTTTTATCTTATAGGAAAAACGATTTTTCATACTTTTTAATTTTAATTTATTAAAATTTATTTTATTATTGTTATTATTTTTAAAAGAAAAACTTTTTACTTTTGTTAAATTTAAATCTATTGAATTATATGAATTTTATAGGATGAATCTTTTATTTTCATATCAATAAATTCCATTTAAAGATTAATAATAAATAACGAAAAAGAAAATCTTCGTCTGTCTGCTGGAAAGACGATTTGTTATTTTTAAACTTACATTTACTCACATAAAAAAAGGTTTTAAAGGTGATGGAGTTAGTATGCAAAGTGTGAGGATGCAAATTCTTTCTTTTCTTCTTTGGAGTAGGTACGAAGACATACGTAAATACTTACGTATAAAACGTGTCGCCATAGTAGTTTTTAACGGTATATTTAGGCCTGTATGGAATCTTTATTAACACATTATCGTCTGGTCATATATATATTATACATATATAACAGATTTTTTATTAGCCGCTCTTAAAAATCGCCACGCATTTTTTTTTCCTTTATTTATTTTTTATTTTTTATGTATTATGTATGTATATACTATAGAATATATTATTAAATATTATAGATTATCTATAGTATACATATAGTATACATAGTATAGTATTACATTATTATGCATTATGTATTATATGCTATAGAAATGTAAAAAAATCATTTATTATTAAACGTTAATTAAATGAAGGAATAAATTTCGATATATCTTATCACATTGTATCGTATCATAACTGTAAAGTGTTGGACAGTAACGTATTACATTTGAGAAGGTAATGCCAGATATCACTGCTTTCCGGGGGAAATAAAAAGTAGAAGATATAAAATAACCATTTAGAAGCGATTAAGACGAAGATACGAATGACGAAAACGAGCGTAAAAGAGAAAAATAATATAAAATTTAATTTTCCAAGTATGAAAAGCAAAAAAGAAAATATTAAAAAAAAAATTAATATAAATTAAAATGGGACGAAGTTCCTTTGTCAGTACATTGAATAATTGAAAATAATACAGAACTAATATAATAAAACGTAAATAATAATCTATCTTAAAAAAAAAAGTAAACTATATTATAGATATAATATAAATTTCGATCGATTATTTATTACTATATCTTTGTGATATAAAATTAAATATCTCTGTAGCCAAATTAATTGTTATTTTAATTATTACTTATTTTAAATAACCGATAATTTTTTGTTTCTATTTGGGACGAGAAGTGGTAGTACGATTATTTATCAAAATGAAATGAAGAATGCATTAAAGAAAAATGAAAAAAAAAATACAGAAAGAAAGAGAGAAAGAGAGAGAGAAAGAGAGTGAGAGAGGAAAGAGAGAGAGAGAGAGAGAGGGAAGTCGAATGGAAAACAAAAAACAAAACCTTATCGTGACCTTGGCATCTGGCCGGCTTCCGCATTGTTCGCGAATGCAGGAGCTCCTTACGCGCGTTCTCGCGTTCATTCGTTCGTTCGTTCGTTCTTTCGTCCGCTTGTGCGAGCAAAGGTCTCTGCTCCGCGATCAGTGACACCAATTCTTGCCCGATCCACGCTCGATCCCACGATCCGTAACGAAATCGAAGCGATTGGCTGAACACGAGAAAAAAGAAGAAGAAGAAAAAAAATATAAGGTTTTACCTGAGAACTTTAAACGTGCTCGAAATAAACGTACTTTTAAGTATTATCGATTATTATCAATATTATATTTCATCAACAATTATTGTTAATTATTTTTATATCACGTGCTGATGATAATGAGTAAGAATTGTCAGTTTATATCGACTGATGAAAGAATAATGTCTTTTTTTTTTTCAAATTATTCAAAACGAAGATTGCTTTCTATTCTTTCCTTTTCTTTCTTTTTTCTTTTCTGTTTCTTTTTCGTTTTCTATGTTAATCAGACGGAGATCGTGAATTTTATCAGAGAATCAATCGTCAATTATAAGATAATAAAATAGTATTCGATTAAGATTAATGTTTTATAAAATATTTTCTATATTTAAAATAAACTTTGTTTTTTACAATTTTAATTATGTAAAAGTCTCTATGTTATTAACATAAATAACAATTAAACATTATCACTGGAAACATGTATATTTCGAGGAAAAAAAAGCAAAAATTATGAAACGTATTCTCTTAAAAAAAAAAAAAAAAAAAATATATATATATATATATATATATATATATATATATATAAAATTGTTAAAAGGAGATTGAATAAAGAAAAATGTCCGTTTCAAGCAAAAAGTTTTTTTCTTTTCTTTTTTTTTTCTTTCTTTATTAGAGACGCATAAAAAGAAACTGTGAAATGTTTCATGAGAGAGAAAGAGAGAAAGAGGGAAGAAAAAAATATGGGATGGGAGGAGAAGCTTTGACCTTGGCAGGTAGTCGAGTTCCGCATTGCTCACTCGTGGTGGCTAAGTTCCCCTTCCTTTCTTTCAAGAAGGTCTCCCGGTTAGTTCTACATCCTAAAGAAGAAGAAGAAAAAGAAGACGAAAAAGGTATCGCATATCTTCGTAATGCTTCGGAAGTTCTGATGCCCTCTTTTCTCCTTCTTGGGTATTGTTGGCTATTGTCCGACCTTCAACTTGACCGGTCATCATAGTTGTCTCGTCTGTCAACGTCCTTCTTCTTTTTCTTCTTACGAATGTTTGACGTCGTAAACAGATCGTATAATCATAGGTCCTTGATACCTTGTTTTGAGTCTATCAATCATTATCAATAGTTTATATCTTCTATCATTTTTCAAAATTAAATATTCTCAAAATTATATTCAAAACAGATGTTGTCGAAGTCTTTCTCTCTCTCTCTCTCTCTCTCTCTCTCTCTCTCTCTCTTCTCTTCTCTTTCTCTCCGTTTCTTTGATTCGATCATTTCTATTTTCGATTTAGACTTTTCGGATAAATTTATCGATGAAAGAAGAGGAAATAGAGCCATGTGGAAAGCAATCGTCCGCATTTTGACAGTGCACTGACCTCAATATATATAAATTCATCGCTTTTTTGATTTTTTTTTTTTATCAATTTATAGATAGTCTTTCGTTAATAAATCTATATTTTTTTTTTTTTTTTTAAATATAATAAAGAAGATGATTCCTTCGAAATCTTTTTGTGAAAGTAATAATAACAAAAATATAATTTTACTTGTCATAAAAGTTCAAGTAATAATCTATGGTTTAATAATAACAAGGTCTTGAAGTAACTTTTGTATAATATTTCGATTTAGATATCCTATCTATCTTACTGGTTAATAATTTATAATAAAAATGATCTCATAATCCTTTTACTTTCGGGCCTGGAATTATATCGTAATAAATGTATCGGCGTTAATTAAGAAGAAACGTTTTCATTGGTACATTAACAATTAATTAATCTTTATATAAATAATTCGTGAATTGCATTAATAAAATAACATAATGTTACTATCACTATATTAGACTATAATCTAAAATCGTAAAAAAGAAAGGAAACAAAAAACAAAACAAAAAAGAAAAAACGATGATTAAACTTAGAATCGAAAGTTACTGCTTCGATGGTTGGAATACTTGAAATATCAATCGATAAACGTTATCGGCAAAATTTCCTGTATGAAATAGCCTGATAAGGCCGATGTGTGTATTATGAATGTTACGGCAATTGGTCACGTTGTTCGATTATATTATAATCACAAGTGAGTTTGTTCGACACGTTGGTAATTTTTTTCATTTTTAAAGTTCTTTCTATAACAAAAAATTTTTTTTTTTATAGGGACTTGGACAGGACGTATCAATGACATCGAGAGAAGAGGAATGGGGTAATGTTTTGTGCCTCAGGGACAAATCATCCTTGAGTGTCGTCCTGAGAGATCGTTTGATGACAGATGCTGCGTTAGGTGGACCACGTCCTATAAAATCCGAACATAGTTATAGTTTACTGGCTTCCAGTCCTCCACCGAGTCCAGCAACTTCTGGGACCAACCCTTGTACAGCGAAAAGTTCTGTACCTTCTACCAGTACGGCTGGTACGATGGCGGTCAATACCATTTCTTCTATTGATTCAAATAATTTGGATCACAACAAATCTTTGGATATCCGGCCGAGATTCGATGGTGAGGATATGTTATTGTTTGTATTCAACTTGAAAAGCATGAAATTATGGAAAGAATTCGAGAAACTTTTTTTCTGAGGATTTTTTTTTATTTGAATTGATTGTAATGAAAGTATTATATGTATCATACATATTTATATGTATATATGCATTATATGTATATACATTAAATTGTATGTAGAGTACATTTAAAATAGACACTACAAATGTCATAGTCGTAAAATAGGGATGTTTAATAATTTATTTATATACGTATAGAAATAAATGTATATACAAAACATATAGAACATATATAAAATAATATAAATAGATATAATTAATACATTTATATTGTTACGTTTTGTTTTATTGCATAATGAACAGAATATAATTGACTTTTAATTGCAGATATGGAAGACGAATGCTTTCTAGCAATTTCAATGAATTCATCCC